AGAGTCACCCCTACCCTTGTTAGGACAAAGCTTTGTCTAACCTCACCTTCCCTAGTTTTTAGGGGAGATTTGCTAAGGTCCCACCCAGCACTTCCCTCCCCCTTTCTCTTTCTCTCTCACTGTTAATTCCTTAACTTGTGCCTACATACTTTATGTAGCAAAAAGGATTTTGCAGTGTGGTAAAGGTTCAGGACCCTGAGATGGAGAAAATCCTGGTTTTTCAGAGTGAGCCCAATGTAGTCACCCGAATCTTTAAAAGTGGAAAAGGTAGTATCCCTCTTTCTCTCTCTCTCGGTTTGATAATATAAACCTTCAAGGTTTTTTTAAAATCAGTTTCCTTATAGAAATTAATGTCAATTGTTCTATATGGGAGGCATTAAAAATGGTGGCAGTTCAACTCTACTGACTGAATTCATAGAAGGCCTTTTCCAATCTTAGACCTCCTAACCATCTTTTTCATTCCTCTGCCCTAGTTAGGCTGAGTAGAACTACTTTTACAGTTTTTATTGCAGTGATTTGCTCAGATTGTTTCACTTTTAATTTCCCACCATCCCAGATCTACTTTTAATTTTCTTTTGGCCGGAGGTTGAACCCTGGGTTTTGTGCATTCCAGTTAAGCAGTCTATCATGAGATATATTCCAGTTCCTACTTTTATTTTTGAGCCCAATTCAGATCCCTCCCAACCTCAGTTCAATGCAATTATTTGCGCCTTTAAATTTATATAAGAAAAATTACTAAATAATCTAGCAGTTTGGAGGAGAGGCTTCTTTTGTCATTTTTACATCAAAGGAAAAACAGATGTTCATTCCCATCATCTTAAGACTATCCCAGTTAATTAAATGAAGCGAGTGTAATTTTCAACTTTGAATTTTGTATAATTCAGGTTTATCTTTGTACCTGAGGTTTGAACCTGTGTCTCATGTGACATGAATAGGACAGGCCATATATTTCTTATGCAGTGTTTTAAGTATTACTTGTTACTATTCTTGTCAATTAGAAGGAGTGTTTCTCTCTTTTAGAAACAGATAGATGAGGATGATGAGGCATTCTAGGATGCTCCATTGAAAAAACTACAATAAGAGCTTTTCTTTCTCATTACTTTCTTAGGACTTCCTGACATAAGGGAGAAAAAAAATATGGTGGATATTTCCAAACCCCTTCCTACTTCCCTTCAGAATGAGTTCATCCCTGAGGAAGTTCTGCTTTCTCTGACCTATTCAATCAGTGCTGGCCCTTGTCCAGAAAATTTACTGCCTCCTACGAAAGTTAAAACCCCTAAGGTACGTGTGTATGTATGTAGAATACTTGGGAACATTATCTTTTTGTTATCTGCTTCATTAAGTGTGAGCATATATTAGGTATTCCAGATGGTCCTAAAATTTTTTTGAAAGTAATTTTCTAGATTGAAAGCTTAGATCTTTTACACCAATATTTCCAAGGCTTATTTCCATTAACCTGTTTTTATGTAAATTTACCAAAATGATTATTACTACTCATCGGTCTTAATATATTCATTCATTATGGAATTATCCTAGTTTCAGCTTTGTCCATGTTATTGAATAAGTTCTTTCTTTATTCCATAGAGTATCCAAATTCCCCTAATGTAAATATTCAGAATCAGTTAATATTTCATTTGACTAGTGCTCCCTCTGCTGGACATTTATGTGTTTTTGCTTTTTCCCAGGGTACCCTTCCACGTGCTGTAGACCATGTCTGGCAGCATCCTATTCAAAGGAATAAATTCAAATACTTGATTGACCATCCTGTCTCCCTAACAGGAGCTGCAAGGTAAAGAAGGAAGAGGTCAGGATAGAGGCAGGTAAATAGAGTTGTCTTTTCATTTCATGTGATATCCTTGGTAGGGGCAGGATTGAAAATATAAAATCGTTGATTATAAAACATGCTGTATCTTTGGTAAATCAGAATACAATCCAGAAGGACAAAGGATCACCTTTTTGTGTGTGGTTATCATCAATATGATAGCTATAGGGCCGGGGATTTAGCTCAGTGGCACTGTGTGCCTGCCTTGCAAACGCAAGGTCCTGAGTACCAAAAAGAAAATAAAGAAAGAAAGATGATAGCTATAAATCCAGACTGTACATGCTTAATTTTTTTGCATGCATTTGTAATAATTGTCTTAGTACTGTCCTATTCCTTTTTTTTCTCTGTTAAAATGGATAGGGTCTGTAGGCAGAATTACTTTATAATGCATTTTTTTTTGGTAATGGGGATTGAACCTTGCCTTCACACTGAGCTACGTCCCATCCCTTTAAAATTTTTTTTATTTTGTAATTGGTGTCACTAAGTTGCCCAGGCTTGGATTAAACTTGTGATGCTACTGTCTCAGCCTTGCAGAGTCCTGGGATTGTAGGCATGTGCCACCATACCCGGTGGTGGGATGCTTTCAGTGCCTCCTTTTTTTCTGTGCATCTTAGAAGAAACATAGCTTCATGACATGGAAAACCTTGAAGGACAAGTGCTTAACTCCTGGCTCTCTTCAAAGGGATCCCTTAACTACCTGATTTCAGATCAAATCAGCAAATACTATTTGTTTTTTTTTTTAGTGATTCGAAACATACTCTAAATGTCAAATTTTGTTTTCCTGTGAAGATTGTGACCTGTACATTTTCTAAGTTTTTTTTTGGTTCTGGAGATCGAACTCAGGACCTTCCGCTTGTGAGCCAGGCCCTGGAACCACTGAGCTAAATCCCCGGCCCCTAGGTGTTATTTATCTATGGATTTTCTCCCTATGTACACCTCTCTGTATGTCACTTTCTTTCTTTTTGTTTGTTTGCCCTTTCCTGTCATTTTCATCTGAAAGGGCTGCCATACTTGGATAGGTTATCTAGTCTTTCTGAAGTTACTTTTCTCATCTGTAAGAAAGAGAGTGATAGACTTTTTCAATTTTGTGTGCCTTCCAGGGATATTGTAAAGCACAAATGAGATAATGGATGCAAGAGCACTTGTAAAACCATTAGTGCGGTATCTAAGTATAAGGTGTTATTACTCAGCTATGTGTCAGTGCTAGAAAGAGTGGCAGAAAGGTAGCCAATTTTGACTTTTATGCCCTGAGCTGTAGTATCATAAAGTACATGTACTTTGTTTTGTGCCTTCAGATCATGGTTATATTTAGTACTAATTAGTAGTTATGAAATGTTTGAAGTACTTTGAAAAATTAATTAGCTATTTCAGAATGTAACAGTAAACTGACATTAAAGTTTTGATGTCAAATGACTTCTGAGTGGGAATTTTTTAAATGTGAAGATTAGGTAGGCAGATAATGCTCCCTGCTCACTTGCTAAAATACCCTCACTTTCATCCCAGAGCTTGTGCTGGCATACCTCACATGGCAGAGAGGACTTTAGAAAGGGCTGGAGATGTGGCTCAGCATAGTGTGCTTGCCTAGCATGTGCAAGGTCCTGGGTTCAATTTCAAATATGATGAAAGGGAAAAGAAAAAAATGCAATTGAATACAGGAATCTGGGACTTCTAGTGACAACTCAGCTGAGAACTATCTAGAAAACAGGGATCTCAGTCTTACAATTTGAAGGAACTGAATTCTGTTAAACACAGATGATCACAGATATGGATCTTCCTGTAGTGCATCCAGACAGAAACAGCCCTGTCAGCACCCTGATTTTAGCCCGGTGAGACCTGCATTGGCCCTCTGACCTGCAGAACTGGGATAATAAATCTGTGTTGCTTAAGCTAAGTTCGCAGTAACTCGTTAGGGCAGAAATATGTATATGCCCAATTAATAGTAGCAAGAGGAAACTTGCCCAGCAATCTCAAACATCCAGAGTACAGCAATAAAATACCAATGACAAAGTGAATATTTTTGTCAGCTCTGTCAGAGCTCAATGCAAAAATAAATCACTGTACATATTTCAAGAAGGAAAAAGCTAAACGTAGAAACCTGAGTGTTTATAAAATCGTTGGAAGGATTAAAGGAGTTGGTGTAAGCAGTTTCCATGGGAAAAACTCCCAGTTTGGGCAGAGTTGACTCCACAAAGAAGCAACTCCCTCCAAAGCAGCCACAAGAGCTCTGGTTCAAGAACGTACCCCTCTGAGCAGACATTTGTCCAAAGCGCATACAATTAATTAATTAATTTAATTAATTAATTTATTTATTTCTGTGTTTTTTCTTTGTGCCCTTTTCTCTCTCTCTCCCTCTTTCTCTCTTTCTTTTTTCTTCTTTCTCTTCCTCCTCCCTCTTCCCTCCTCTTCTTCCTCTCTCTCCTTCTTGCTCCATAGAGTTTTCTTTCTTTCTTTTTTCCTGTCTCTATACTGCCTTGGGAAGAAACTACGGAAATGAGTAACATAGATCAGGACAGGAGTAGATAAAGTTATGAGAGGATCATGTGGAAGGCATCTGGGGTAACTGGTAAAGTTTGATCTTGTAATATGGTTGGTAATTACAAGGATATATATCTCAGAATAAATATTTGAGTTATACAGTTTTAAAATTTTTGTCAAAAAATTTAAAAATACTAAGAAAGAGAGCTTAAAATGTTGCTGGATATGTATTAAACATAAAAACTTATTCCTATACACAGGTAATATGAGAATACAGTAAAAGATCTCATTTACAATAGCAAAAATCAACACATTCAGATATCTTGAAAGTTATATAGGGGAAAAAAATCTATCAAAAAGCAAGACCTGAGTGAACACCCCCCCCCCCACCCCTCAGCCTTCCCTGGTACTGGGGCTCTAACTTAGGACCTTGCACTTGCAAGGCAGGTGCGGTGCCAGTGAGTGTTCAGAAAATGTTCAAATGGGAAGGGGAACAAGGGAGGAGGGAGGGAGAAAGAAAGGAAGGGACAAGAAAAAAAGTGAAAATAGGAGGAAAAAGTGGAAACAAAGCTTTTGTACATAGGGAGGGGAGGGGGCTTGAGGGGGGAATGAGATAAAATTTTAAAAAATTTATTTAAAAAATAAAATCCAAACTTTCATTAAAAAAGAAGACCCGAGTGAATAGAAATGTACCATAGCCATGAACTCAAAGAATCAGTTATGTAAGATGTCAATATTCCAAATTAATCTATAAGTCCAATGTAATTTCACTTCAAATTCCAACAAGATTTGTCCTGGAATTCAACAAGCTAATCCTAAAATTCATATGGAAAAGAAAACAGCAATAGGCAAACTATGCACGTTGTAGGTAATTAATACAGTATAATACCACTTATGATTTTAAAACATTCAAAATTGTACTACATATTCCTTAGGATTATATTTATGTAGTAAACATGAAACTACACACGGAAATGATAAATACTGAATTCTAGATAGGGAAGGCAAGATGAAAAATTTTTAATCTAAAGCAATTTGGTTAAATCTATCAGAATTACAAATGCAAACAGTTCAATCTAGCAGTTTCACCTGTAGGAATTTATTCTGTAGATATAGTCATGTGAGCAATAGCACATTGACAAAAATGTTAATTTTAGTGTTGTTTGTAACCGGAAAATATTGGAAAGAACATAGTATTTGGCAATAGAGAATTAATGATGGTATATATATACAATGGGATTCTATGTTGCCAGTTTAAAAACAAAAAGGCTGAAGGGTGTAGCTCATAGTAGAGTGCTTGCCTAGTATACTTGAGGCCCTGGGTTTGAGTTCTAGTACTGCAAAAATAAACACCCAACCAAAGAAACTCATATGCTGAGATGATGTGATTTCTAAAAAAGTCATTAAGTAAAAAAAGCAAGGTGCAAAAAAGGCTACAAATACTGAACATATATGCCCATTGCTTCTTGCTAATGTAGAGTTTCATCAAATTTTTATTTTTGGTACCAGGAATTGAACTTGGGGCCTTGTGCTTGTGAGGCAGTTGGTGGAACCACTGAGCTAAATCCCCAGCCCTATCAAATGTTTTTCTTATCGTTACCAATTTGATGGGTAAAAAGTGGTATTTGATGGTTATAGTTTATGTTTCACTTACCATGTAGAAGGTTGAACATGTACGCCTTTGTTTGAGGTCTATTTGCATTTGTTTTTCTGTGAATATATTTACATACCCTTTGGAGCTACTTGGCAGTTATTTCTTTTTTTGTTTTTGAGGGGGATTACTTAGTTTTCTGTTGAATTGATAGTCTTTTTCTCATTTATAGGAAGACTTTTAAAGGAAATTGTCTCTTTGTCAAGGATTTGACCTGAAAATGTATCTTCTTTGTTTGTGGGTTTCATTTTGAATTTGTTTTGGTGAAGTTAAAAGATGTATGTAGTCAAATTTACCAGTCTTTTTTATTATGACCTCTGCACATGAAATCAATTCCATGAAAATTGCTGAGATTTTAAATAACAAAATGACTATATCCACCATAGTATCAGAGTCTGGGTGATAAATTGTGACTATTCAACAAATTTATTCCACAAATATTTAATTACATCTGCCATGTGGAAAGCCTGGCTCTGCATATTCTGAGAAAGTCCACATGCTACATAGAAAGAGTTCAAAGGTAGAAGAGACTTACTTTGCTGGGAATGGCAGGAGTGTTTTCATGAAGGTAACACTTGCAGTGGATCCTCAGAGTTTGGACTTGTCTGGGAAAGAGGCACTTCTTGGGTACTTGATTCTTAGTTAAGAAGCTATCCAATTTTGTGGAAACTATAATCTGAAAGTTAAAAGTAGAACACAGGCTTGAAAGAAAAACTGAAGAATCAGACTCAGAAGTACTGTATAAGAGTCTAAGGTAGCTCTAGGGAATCTGTTAGAAGCACAACGTATGTTTCCATCTAATGGAAAATCATTAGGGCATCGTGGCAATGAATTAATGCCT